GGTGGCTGGCCCTACATGCTGCTGAGCTGAGATCTGACACCATGAATACCTGCTGCAGGTTGAGCCAGGTTTTATCCTTTTTATTACCCAGATGAGACCTGCAGATTTAATCCTTTTTCCAGATTTAATCAGTTTTACAGAGAGAGGAAGAAAGAGAGTGATCAACATGTAGAGAGACAACATAAACCATCAAAGTTAGTGAAAGAAAGAGTCAAGCGTCAGATGGGAAGAGAATGAGAAGATGCTTTAATAAGCTGAAATATTCTTTTGTTAACGCCATGGAAATGGACAATAATGTTCTGAAAAACTCCTTTAATTCATGAAAGAGTATTTTGGGCGGAATGAAGTATTTCAAAGTGTAGATCTGAGCAAAGTTAATCCACTGATGAAGGTGAGCAGATGGTGAAGTAGTTGTGATCCCATGAGATGCTGGAACAGAGAAATAGAAGTGAGAATTGCTGAAGACTCATGGCCCCCAGGGAGAAAAATAGAAAACCTCTGTTCCCAGAGATGATCATGAAGACAGATGAAGAGAACCTTTGCCTTTGAATAACTCATCCTTAAAATGACACCCCATGAGTTCACGGCCCATGAACAGACCTCAGAGTGGTGTGAAATGAGAGAGGGGCCTGATTGATTTACCAAAATATGAATATGATCTAGTATCAGTATCCAACCTGAGATGGACAAAGACTCTAACTGATTAGGTTTACAGAGTCTATGTTTATTGGCAGCACTGGGCTGATGTGCAGGGTCACCCCTTAATACACATGTTCCCGAATGCAGGCGAATATAGACATTTTATTTACCGAGGTATTGAATACAAATACATATTCAAAACCCAGTTATCGCCCACTCCCAGCCTCCTATGCTAATTAAGAAAAAGCAATTAAGCATGCGTGGTTTGTTCCTTGAAATGAGTTGGTGGTCTTGTTATGGGGAGGGTTCATAAAAGGGAGGAAGGAATATATCTCTTCCTCTTTCTGACCTTTCAACCTTTTCAATACAAAGTGACAAATGAACCCTTGGGGAAGCTCCTAGTTTCGTATTTCCAATTAGTTTCTGGTTTACAATTGTCTTATGTTCTTGAAGTTCCTTACAAGATTCTTTGTTTCTCATTTACAAGCCCAGCTGAACAAACATAAGGTTGACAGACAATTAGTTATTAGCTAATGATTAACTCCTAATTCTAGTAGGGCCTCTCAATTTTAATTAGATTTAGCAGGGATTAATTTTAATTAAGGCTTTAGCTTTTCTAATATCTTAACTTCTTCAAAGTTTATGTTTCATGATGGCAGAGTTTTCCAGGCAGCTGGCATCAGGGGAATGAAAAGCCATGAGAAAACTATTTTTTTTGTGAAGAACCCTCCATGAAATGACAAAAGGAAACTTCTTTTCTCTATAAGAACTGATGAAAATACTATTATATAGTTGGTACTGTTTTAATCACCAAGTTTTGTCTTGTCAGTTAGACAAGAAAATAGTTGGGTGGTGGAGAGAAATGGTTTCTGGAGGTTATAGTCTGGTTTCTTATTCTTGTAGTTTTGTTAATAAACTTTCTTTATTCCTTTTAAGTTTTTAGCCTGTTTTGCCCTTCTCCTAATCCATATCTCACAGCAAGAAATAAGTTTTCTGATGAATTTTTAGCTAGTGCTTTAAAACCACCACAGGTAGGTTATCTACACAAGTAGTAATTTCACTAATAGTGTCAAGAATTGTTAGCTCTTGAGCACTGTTTCTGGCTTTGACATTCATTTGCTCTGCCTTGTTAACATGCTACTCAAACTGTCAATCTTGGTTAACCTTAGTTTAAAAACTGGTTTAGTTTATTCAGTGAAGATCATATTTTGTATACTGGTTTGAAGATGAAAGACAGGAAAAGAATGCTCAATATTACTTCTAAAGAAATCTTAGAAAGGATGTTGCTCTTCAGCGATTTCTCAAATTGATAGATTAGTTTTGGGATGCTGTGATTTTTGGCAGTACCTTCTGTTGGACTCTCTTAGCCTAATCTGCCTCAATATACATGAGACATCTTTAAATCTCAGTTATAAACAGAATCTATTAAGTTTCGAGCAACTGATTCTTTGAGCAACATGGTTTTTTGCATGTATTTGTATGTATCTATGCATTTTGTCATCATCACCCACTGAAAATGTAAGCATTTTCTTGCCTTTTTCACCTAACATTCTTGTCAGGCTGTATATGCAGGTCACTCACCTCATGCATAAGGGAAACATAATGATGCAAATATAATTCTGCATGTTCCTTTAACAGACAGAAACTTGAGTTGCACAAAATAGTTTCAGCAGTTGCACACAATAATCTGAGGCAGCTAAATGGAATCTAGGTCTTAAGATTCAAATTTTCAATGTGCTCTTGTCTCACTATTTTTCTTTATTTCCTCCAAAAATAAAAACAAAAAATAAAAGCAATTCTGGTCATTTCCATCACAATTCATCAAATAGTTTAATCAGCAAATTTTCTTTTAGTGATGCTGTATCTCTATAAAAGTTGCATTAATTATGAGGACTTAATTTCTCTGCTTTTCTCAAACCCCAGAATGTAGAACATCAGTAATTAATAGTCTGGGCTGATTATATAGCCAACCTCTTAATACATATTTCTTTTCCTTCTGTTTGAGTTGCTCAGCAGTTCTCATTAAAGAGTTCCAAATATTTAAGATAAGGAAAGATTTTTCTAATTCGTTAGTAAGGTTAAGCCTGGAAGGAAAACATGAGTACTTAATTTCTGATATGATCAAAACAGCAAAGTGTTACTACAGAGTAAAAGAATATTTGACTTAATTTGAGCACAATAGTAGGAAGGTTGTTGTCAGGAATGGGAATGCCTTGGTTTTGTAGTAAGACTTAATAGAAATGTTTAATGTTTTATAACAGGATACAGCCTTTGAATACCAACCTGGAGATGCCTTCTGTGTAATATGTCCCAACAATGTCTGTGAAGTGGAAGAACTTCTTCATGTTTTAGGACTTACTGAAAAAGGAGATGACTTTGTTTGTGTAAAAGTCAAGCAGGGCACTAAAAAGAAAGGTATGGTATGATGCACTAGTCATGGACCAATGCTCGTTTCTGTGTTGGTAGGAGCTGGTGTGCGTAGTTTTGAACATTTGTACCTTCAGTATGGCAACACAGTTGCCATCTTTCCATGCAGGCGTGTTGGAAGTCACAGCTATGTGTTAAAAAAGAGGATGAATAGCAGTGCTGCTGTTGGTTTTACTGCTGATGAGTAGATGAGCTGTTGACTGGGAATTGCAGCCTGGCATTTGTGTTCATCCATCTCATTCTTACTGTGTTCCTTCATGTCTATATAAATAAGACTTCAATCACAGAACCTTACAATCCCCCACTTGAAAGTAAATCTCCTTGCACAACGCTGAGTGTCAATCTGTTTTACATCCTAAAAGGGCTGCACTCCTCAAGGACAAGCCTTAGTGTTGTTGCAAGGTGCCTTTTAATGGACCTATGGATGGGTTCTGCTGAGTCTTATGATGCCATGCTTCAGAAAGAGTAGATGCAGGTTCAGAGTGTGCTTGTGTACTGTCTGCTGAACCGGTGTGAATTACTCCATTCTTGCATTGCAGTTGGTATCGTAATGGTGCTGCTGAGCTGTGCCTTTATTTCCACAGGATGGTGTAGGGCTCTTTGTTGTTCTGTTTTAGAGCTAAATTGGTTCTCACTGTTGAGATTCCCTGCATCTTTGAGGGCTGCACAAGTTGTCTCTTAAGTGTGAGATATGTGATGCCACTTTCGTGTATCAATAGATGCACATTTTACTTTTTGATTTTTTTCTCCCACTGAACTAGGAGCATCTCGTCCACAACACATCCCTGGAAGAAGCACTCTCAAATTCATTCTAACCTGGTGTCTGGAAATAAGAGCAATTCCCAAAAAGGTGTTTATGTGTTTTTTTCTTCTTAAAAGAAATTAGTAATTCTATGCTACAAGGTCTCTTACAGATCTGTCCTTGCTTTGTGTGTAGTTATATTATGTCTTGGTGAATAAGGATTGTCAGTTTGTATGCTACTGTTTGTATTTTACTCTAAGAAATGTCACTTCTGCTAGTTTATCTGGCGGACATTCCTGCTCTGTGGTATCTTGATTCATGACAAATCTGGAAGTAGAAAAGTATTAGGTAACTTGGTGCCAGGTAACTGGGAAGGCTGACAGAACCCAGCTCCATAGTAATTTTAAACAGTCTTTTTAATCAGAGGGAGCCAAATTTTTCAAGTTCTGTTGCTAAAAAAGGCACATGTTGCTGTATGTAAATGTACCACAGTGTCCTTTACATTATCTTATGTAGAGCATGGTGCTAGTAACCCTGTATGGACCATTAATTTTAGAGCTGGAGTCGATGATCCTTGTGGGCCTCTTAAGACTCTCAATATTGTGTGACATTTTAAAGCTTTTCTTTAATATTTCAGTAATGTAGCAGAATTCAAAGAAAAATTTTTTGCTTTTATAGTATTTGTTCTTACAACATGTATATATTTTCTTTTCATTTTGTGCATGTAAAAATACAATGCTTCTCACTGAAAATGCATCTATATTTCTGGTATTGTCAAAACATATTTAAAAAATAACTTGATATGAAAGATGAAGCTAAACAATTGTGTGGTTGGGTCTCTGAGGGAAATAAGTTTTTGGGTGGACCTTTTTACTCAATTTAGCGGATTTTGCAGCAGAAGAGAATCTTCCTGTTCTTTCAACCTTTTCAAAACCTCATTCAATGGTTTTGAAAATTTTTCTCAGTAATAAGAGTAAGCAGAGAGTACTGGCTGGGGAATATCAGAGAAGCCAGTTTTTATAACCTCTCTGTTGTATTAAGTCTTCAACCTAAAAGGTGCTTTATCTAACTCCATACTCAAAACTATTGTCTGGAAGCTTAGCAGTTGAGCACACATTATTTTCCAAGTATTCCTTTATATAGAATGTGTCATCTGATTGTATTTTCTATTTTCTATCATTTTTCCTTTATGCATTGTGTCTATTTCCATCTTCCTTTTTTGAAAAAAACTTGTAGCTATTTACATCTGATCTTCACTTTGTTACAATGTTCAGTTTAACTTTTCTATAAGAAAAGTTAAATACTACCAGTATGTAGGCATAAAATATAGAATAAAACACCACAACAACATTAACAAGACTCATTTAATACCATACTTTATTTATACTCATACCTCTTCTAAGATTTTTGTTTTTTCTTTCTTGGCTTCTCTGACTTAGCAAATGGTGTTTTGTCTTGAATTGTGTTATGGAGCTGCCTAACTATAATGTAAATAGGGGCACCTTTCAAAAACCTGGAATTTTGGGAGGAATGGCTTGTGTCTGTTTTCTTGTCTCTTCCTTGCTCAGGCTAAGGTAGGATTTTCTGATGTGCTAGCTCGTTGCAGACATTGGAAGAGCTATCAAAAAAAAAGAGAAAGTGTATTATCCATTAACCTAATTCCTGTCCTCAGGAATCCCAAATTTTTCCCAGTTTTGTGACCATTTTACCATATGGACAAGTTTTTTTACCCTTTACCTCTTTCCTTTCTTCCCTACAGGCATTTTTGCGAGCTCTTGTAGAGTGTACCAGTGATGCGGGAGAAAAACGGAGGCTTCAAGAGCTTTGCAGCAGACAAGGAGCCTCTGATTACAATAGCTTTATTAGAGATTCTAATGTTTGCCTCCTGGATTTACTTCATGCTTTTCCAAGCTGCAAGCCTTCACTTAGCCTGTTAATTGGTAAAAGACTGATTTAGAATTAATTAGATTTGGTTTCTGAAAATGCATTAGACTAAATGTTCAATTTCCCAAGAAAAGGGAGTTAGTTAACTGCTTTAGGAATATTATCATTCCCATAGTGATCAAGCTGGAACTCTTGCTGGGGAGCAAAGCTCTGTTTTACAGTTTGTAGTCTTTAGCTTTCTTTCTGTAAACATTTAGGTTCATACCAATGCTTTGACTCTGGATTACTCCTGTACAAAAAAAGTAAGCATAAGGTGCTTCCAGGATTAGGGTCCTTATTAATCAGTTAATTAATTGCTGACAATTAAAAAAAGACATATTTTTACAACTCCAAATTTCTCTGCTTACATGGTCTTTTCTTGCACTTTTACCTGTTAAAACAGAGTGGTTTTCCCAGTATATTTGTATTTATGTTACGTCTAACACACTCACTGGGTTCCTGATATAAAATACTGAAAGGATGAGACTAAAACTCTAACCATGTCAAATATATCTGAAATTGCTGGCAGTTATTTTTCAAATTAAAATCCAGAATTTCTTAATATGTTTCATAATATCAGTCACAGAAATTGCTTTCTGTGTTCTTGTCCACCCTTACTCAAAATTGCTGAATGGGTTTAGTGTCTTGTTTTAGTGATTTCACTGCACTACCTTGTCTTAACTCTGCCTAGCAACTACCTTATATAGGAGACCACCTTTAAAATATGTCAGAGCGTGCATGGCAAAAAGGGTAGTTCAGCTTATGTATATACATATACATATATAAATATAAATTTGTGTGTGAGATATGGGTTTGTTTGTTCAAAACATGCCCTGTGAACTCCTGTGTCTTGTTTTTTCATCTGAGTTTTCAAAACTTCGCATAGGTAATCAGTGGATTGAAACTGAGCTGGCACATCTTGTAGGACATTATATAAAAGAAACTTTCAGTCAAGTAATCTCCATTGTGAGAGCCATTGAGCTCATAGAGGAAAGATGGGGAAAATTAAATTTCAAGCTTCACCTCATCTGCTAGCTACTGGCATCTTTTCTGTACACCTTACAGTTACTTTTGTTTGACCAAGGACCCTATAAATTAACTATTATGGTCTCATTGTATAGGATCTCTAAGTGACGTTCCACAAAGCCTAAACCCCATTCAAAAAAGAGGGCTTAATTGCTTCTTTCTGAACCACAAACACTGAATAGTACTAGAACAAAATTATGATTAAATTAAAATATCTTGTAATCTGTTGTAGTGTAAGTACTCATTATACGGTATCTTCATTGGGTTGAATCAAATAAGTGATACATTTTTTTCCCTGTTCTTCAGAATATCTTCCTAAATTACAAGCCAGATCCTACTCAGTGTCAAGGTAATGAAATACTAAAATTTTATCTTCTTAGTTATTTAGGTTTGGGGATTTTCCCATATGTGTTTGTGTATGTCATAAGGTTAGGAAGAAAGAGAGGAGTGAAGGAGAAAATGTGGTTGTGACCCTACTGCAAAAAACAAACTGACTATTTCAAGGAATATTGTTTTGAGTGTGTGGCAAGGCTTTGGTAAAGCTCTCAAAAACAAGCTTGCACACATGAATCAGGCAGGAATTTGAGTTGCCTTCTGTAGACACTGGCCTCTGAGTCCAGCCTTAAGACAATTTCTAACTAAATAGAAATATTATGCAGTTAGCAGAACGTTAAGAGTCTTGATTCAATTGAAATGGTTTGGGCTGCAAACGGACCCACTGCAAGATTGTACATCTTTCTCATAGATTTTGGGGTTTTTTTTTAATATTTTTGTCTTTGCAGTTCAAACTTGTATCAGCCAGGAAGGCTGTGCTTTGTATTTAATGTTGTGGAGTTCCCTGCTGGTCCCTCTAGACCAGTCTCACGGAAAGGAGTATGTACAGGGTGGCTTGCTGAGTTAGTTGCACCTCTACTGCACCCCAGTAAAAACTCTCTGCATACAGGAGAAAGCTCTTCAACTGAAAAGGTATGAATATTAGATCTAAAGTCATTAACTGTTAAATTTATGCATGTATGAAGTAACTGTGGCTTTCTTCATTCACTGCTGTGATGTAGTGCAGGTGTTTTGGCAGTATACACCTTAATTTTGCAGTTCTACACTGTTTCTGTGAAACATGTCCAGAACTTCATTCCTAAACACTAAAGTTAAATTTTTCTTATCTATGCATACCTAAATTATGAAATTTCTCATTGCTGAAAGACCAGAGTTGTTTTCCACCCCTCTGTAGTCCTAAGTGTATCTTGAAGATGTTTTTGTGGACCAAACTACCACTGTGCAATTAAATGGTTATGACTGTTTGCATCGTAAGAGAGAAGCACTTGCTCATTTCCAAAAAACGGTGGCAAGTTATAGGGGAGAAACTATAAAACTCACACTTCTTGTCAGGTCTTCCAGAGTTTGCAAAGTCCAAGTTATTGAATATGCTATAGGGGACACTCATCTGTGTTTTTTCTGATGTCTACTAGTGATTGCGGATCAGGCACAGTTGATATTACTGGGAGAAGGTACTTTTTAATTTTTTTCCCCTTATTTCATTTTGTGACAGAGATTCTGTGTAATCAATTGATCTCAAAGTCACTAGGTCTAAGGTAATTATTAAAAAATTGGAATTCTACTATAAAATTTATATGTGTGATGCACATATCTTTTCTCAAAAAGAACTACTGGCAGCCTAATCTATATTTGATTATGAAAAATGGAAACAGGAATAGAATTCAGCTGAAAGAAAACTGTCCCAATAATTCAGGGTGTCAGTCAGACAAAGTGGAGAAAATCCACCATACAAGTTATCCTCATTTTTTCAATGCAAAGATTAATATGTGCATCATATATCTTATTCCAGTGTTCACATCTACTATTTATTTAAAATATAATTGATTTAGAATTAATTAAAGATAAAACAAGAAAAAGAAATGTCTAAAAAGAAATAAATATTATTACAAAATGAGTCTAGATAAAGTTTTGTACTATTTCTGTCTACTGCAGAAGCTAGAATTTAGCATAGAAAAATGTGCAGCAATGCACATAGATTGCAGAAATACATGGAATAACAATACAAAATAGATGAGCTGGATCTTATGCAAAAATATATTTCATTAATTGAATACACTTTACAGTATAAATGTGTTTACCATTTGCAGTCTGTTTTGAAGGAAGGACCAGTTTGGAATCATTAATATGGTAAACATTCTTCTAACTCAAGTGTGGTGTGAAGTGGATATATATATAAGTATTGTTCCCCACCAGCAAGAATTATTCTATTTTTTTATCATCATGAAATATAGATTATATTGAATGTGTCTCAGAGGATAGGTATGGAGCTCCTATGAAAATTTGACTTCTTTTCTGACACAGATATGAAAATTAGAATTACTGGGATTATATAAAACATTTTCCAAGATCTCTGAGCTGTTATGTGCCCCCCCCCAACCCATATGCACTTTTGGAAATTATGTAAAACTTTTATGAGAATTAAGAAAGCAGGCTCTTTACCAATAGGCTTCAATTAATTATAAACAAATCCTGACCTCCCACAATTCAAAAAATGGTTGAGTTGCCTTTAATAGCAATAAACTGGCTTTACTTCCCTTGGAACACCAGCACCAAACTTTCCATGGATTCTGTAACATTATTCCCCAAATTTGTGGTGCAATCAATTTTCATATTCATAAACTCACGCCTGTGTGGTTTATCCCGGTTTTCCTCCAGATGGATTAATTGGTTTGTAAATATAGTGTGATTTTGTTGGGTTTTTTTTCCTCCAGAGAATTCTGTGGGATTTTATTCTAAATGTCCATGTGGCATTAAAGATGAGCTCTGAAGTTCAGGATTTGGAAGGGTGTGTGGGTACATACACTCTGTAAATATCCTGAATGTTCTAAAAATGTCATGGTGTTTTTACTGAGTAAGAATACCCTTCAGTTATATTTTATCTAATTTAATTTTAGATCTATATTTTTCCTCGCCCAAAGAATGCTTTCCACTTACCTGCAGACCCATCTGTGCCATTCATTATGGTTGGTCCAGGAACAGGAATTTCACCATTTATTGGTTTCCTACAACATAGGTATGTACCAAGTTGTTACCTGAAGAGCAGCCTTTTTATGTTGAGGAGAAATACAGCCTGAGGGCTTGAGTATAAATCCAGAGATTTTTTTGTCCTTTTTGTAATGGTGGTGTGCTGATTATAAGCAGTCTTAATAATTTTAAACAAGCATTGCTTGTGTATTTATTTGTTTTCCAAAGCAGTAAAACTTACATTTTCATCTGATTGTATTTGCTCTTCATAGTAGATACATGAGAAATTGGGTGAATTGCAGAAATAGTAACAAGAAAATAAATTATTTATCTCTATGTGTTGCTGGTGGAAGTTCTGTAAGAGAATGATAGATTTTATAAAGTGTTGATCGGCTTAACTTTGTTATTCAAAATCCAATTCTTTGAGAAGTGGTATCTATATTAAAAGGTATGATGAATGTCAGGTTTTGTCCCATATTCTGTTATTTCTATGTGGTTTACATTTTGGTGTTTTAAGATAAGGAGCTTGGCACCAGAACCTTCAACTCAGCAGCAGTCTTGGTGTTCAGGTTTGCAGTTTGGTGTTGAGGGAAGGTGGATTTTTTATTTTTCCTCTCCACCTCCAGCAGTGTAATTTTGCAAGGCAAAGAGATGTTTGTTCAAAAAGTGACAGCACATCACCAAGAATATGTAAAAACTTGATCATTCTGAGGAAAAGAAGAACAGGAGGAGTGAAGGATTTGGGTGAGAATGGTTCTAAGTTTTAAGGGTAACCAACACATATTCCAGTGTAACTCATTAGTTCTATCAAAGTAATGGAGTTTCTTGGGTCTTATAACAAATTTTAAAACATTTTATTTGAGACAAAAGTGAAATTTTGATATGATATTGCTAACTCCATGCTTTGCTTTAACCAAATCATTGTGTATTTCTTAATTTTGATTCCCAAATATTCCTTTACCTCTCAAAAGTATTTTGCATTTTATTTTAAAGTATAAGTGAAATCTCTCTCTCACAATGTAACTAGAAAATAGCAGGTAAAACTCCTTTAAAATAATACTTCCAGCATTATTTCAAGAAAATGAAATATTTTTTCTGATGATGTGGTAGTTAATAAATTGTTATTCATAAAATCTAGCAGGTATCTACAGCTAAATGGAAAGCCTTCATAAAACTGCTGAGTTTTCCTAGGTGGTTTTACATAGGTTCCAGTGAAGGATAAAAGGTAGTGATCTCCTTATTCAACAGTCAGGATTATTTTGTGAGGTGTTTCAATGTGTCAGTCTTGACTGTTTCAATATGAAACTGTGGCCAAAAAAAAAAAAAAAAATTTGAAAATTATTTATCTTGAACTGAGTAGTCAAGAAAATCAAGCGGGGGTTTGACTTGGATTTACCTAAATTGTTTAACATTTCTGCCAATCCAGAATTTATTTTAAAATACTATTTTAATGAAAATTGGGTTATAGACATTTCAGATTCTGCATTTTTTTAAAACAGGATTGGATTTTTTTTTGTCTCTAGGCAAAAGCTCAGAGAACAACATACAGACTGGGTATTTGGAGAAACATGGCTGTTTTTTGGCTGTCGGCATCAGGATCGAGACTATTTGTTCAAGCAAGTTCACTATTTTGCATCCATTTTGTATTCATCAGGGAATGCTCATCTCTGAGCCATTGCTAACAGGTTTTTATTACCTTTCAGAGATGAACTCCAATGTTTTCTTGAAAACGGAACCTTAACTCATCTTAAGGTTTGTTTCTCAAGAGACTCTTCAACTGCGGAAGTGACCCCACCTAAATATGTGCAAGATGTCCTTAGGCTTTGTGCTAAGGAAGTTGCCAGAGTCCTGCTGAAAGAGAGAGGTTACTTCTATATATGTGGGTGAGTAGAGTGGAAATGGATGGTTCAGAAAGAGAGTAGGAGAAGTTTGAGTTTTTAGAAAGACTTAGAGTTGGCTGAAAGAAAGGACCGTTATGATGCTGAAGGAGCCTTCCTGGAGAGCTAGACTGTCATCCCTGTGTCCACTGTTTTCCAGTATAATCTTGAAATACAGCTTGTAACCACACAGTTCCAGTGATTGTTTTAGTTGCTTATTATTTATTTTCCTTTTTTTTTTTTCAGCATTCAATTAAATTATAGGAAGTTTCAAGCCAATAGATTTCTCTTTAGAAAATGAGATATATGAATAGATGTGATGAGAATCTGCTTATTTGTGAGACAATAGCAGTCTTTTGCTGTGTTTCAGGTTTGGGTGCTCCAGAATGCTAAAGCTGTGTCATAGTAATACATTTTACAGTGGGAGATTTTGTTTGTGGATGCTAACTTACATGGAGGATCAAGATTTTTAGAAAGTGTGTTGATAAATGGACAAACTGTTTGAATATAAGGCCCAATGTTAATGTCTTCTCCGGCATTTATAAATGTCAGCTATTTATATTAAAAATAGCATTATTAATAAGTGAGGAGTATGGTAGCAATTTTTGTAGGTTTTTTCCTTTAATATTGAAACCGTGTAGTGATATAGGAATCCAAACTCATTCAGCGGGTCCAGTTCTTTCTTTTAAAGAAACCAATTATTCTCTGATAGCTCAACATTAGTTATGAATTACAGCATGCTGAAAACAATGTAATTTGATTGAGAGAAACCCTAGTTAATGTCCATGCTCAGCTACTGGGAAATTCTGAGAATCATGCTGTACAACATAAAAGCTTTATTTTTGTTTGGGATGTTTTAATGATTCTTTCCTATATTGTCCCGCCTCTGAAGCTATTCATAAGTGGAAAAATACACTATTACACTTTTCTTCCTCTATCTTTTATTTTTCAGAGATAAAAAGCACATGGCTGATGGTGTAAGTGAAGCCATAGTAGACATTTTAAGCATGGAAATGGAAGCTGACACATTGGAAGCAATGAAAATCCTTGCCATGCTTCGAGAAGCAAAACGATATTTGCAAGATGTTTGGAGCTAAATGTTTAGCTTTTTCAATATCATTGCAGTACAAAATACTTCTTTTACACATACGTTTTTAATTAAAAGTTACCGCCAAAAGTTCTGTCAGTAGTCGCACAAAGGTTAACTTTCTCTATTGACCTTTCCAACAGGAACATGAAACCTTTGAAATTACAACAAACCAGGCTGGCCTTTGAAGTGTATGGTTTTTGGTTTTTTAGAGATGTTTCATAATGGACTGTCTCAGTGCCTTGATTTTCTTGCCTTAAGATTGGGTTGTTGTATAAACTAAAAACTTACGCACTTTTACAGGCATAATAGTATATTGACATTACATCATGTATTTTGTCCTTGTCGTGGTTTTAAACCAATAACTAAGAAAATTACTTATATTCTTGCTGTGAGATATGGATTAGAACAAGAGCAAAACAGGCATACAACTTAAATGGGAAAAAAAAGAAAGTTTATTGACAAACTACAATAATAAGAACACCAGAATAAACTTCCAGAAAAAACCTTTCCATCCCCTATCTACCCACTATTTCCTTGTTCACATGACAACAGAGACAAAAACTCTGGAACTCTGATGGTTAAAACAGTCCCAATTCTTGCTACAGTCTTTTCACCAGTCTTTGTAGAGAAACAGAAGTTTCTTCCTGTTAATTTATAGAGTTTCTCACAAGAAAACTATTTTTGTTATAGTTTTCTATTGCCCTAATGTCAGCTGCTCAGAGCTGCTATTATTAGAGTTCACTCCTCCCATTTTCACATCACTCTGAGGTGTGTATGGGCCATGAGTCTAGAGATAGCATTTTTAAGGATAAGTTATTCAAAGGCAAAAAAAAAAGTCTTCTTCATTTGTTTCTGTGAGCTTCACCAGAAAACAGTTTTCTCATTGCCTGTCAAGGCTTCAAATCTCCTAACAGTTTTCTCATTGCCTGTCAAGGCTTCAAATCTCCCAGCACTTCACTATACTATAATTACTCTACTTTTTACTCAAATTTACACTTTGAACACTATTCCTCTCTAGATCCTGTATCATGAATTAAAGGAGTTCTTTTCAGGACTTCATTGTCCATCTCCATAGTTTGAACAGAAAGATATTTCAGCTTAATTAAAGCATCTTCTTAATTCCCTACCTTTCCTGAAGCTTCTTTTCTTTCCTGTCACTGGTAGTTTATAAAGTCTCTTTTCATGTTGATCACTCTCTTTTTCTCTCTCTGGATAAAAAGATTAATCCGCAAGTCTCATCTGAGTAATGAAAGAGTTAAAATCTTGCCCAGGCTTTTGTAGATGGTTTGGTGATCTCCGCCGAACAGGAGCTGGAGCCATCTGCGATGGAAGGTTCCTCATGGCTGTTCTGGAGAGTGTGGTCGCTGCTCCAACCCGCTGCAAGTCCAGGGCCTCTCTCTTTCTTCACTGGGCAGTTTCTAGTGAATGTAGTTACAGCAGAACCTGCAGCCGAGCCAGAGATCGGCTCGGCCCAGCCCGGGCCCGATTTCTAGCTCGGCTGCAGGTTTTGCTGTAACTAAATTCACTAGAAACTGCCGAGTGAAGAAAGAAAGGGGCTCTGAACCTGCAGCAAGCAGAGACAGCCACACTCTCCAG